ACTGGGTCATCCTAGGATTTTCAAGCGATGCTTCGAATACTTGTAGCCTACAAATATCATCAACTCTTAGCGGCCACGTTTTACACCTATGACAGAATGAACTTCTGTGCTGTAGATTCTCCCTTTGGTTAGTAAACAGATATCTCACCTACTTCATAAGTAACTCGTTGTCGAACCTTCAGCGTATATCCGTGCTGAGATTTTGTCAGACATCGGGGCCATCAACGCTGATGATGATAAACAAAATGTACATACACTGCCTCAAAAAATGACTTATACAAAATTTTATTACATTTCATGAATTAAAAAGAATCAAATATACAACTTACGTCCAATAGTTGATGGTATTGAATTCATTGCCATGTTGTTGTTGTTGTTATTCATCATAAGTAATGATGAGGATGACGATGATGATAACGATGGGTCCATTATTGAATTATTGATATTATTACTGTTATTATTATTAGAATTGGTTAAATTCACATTTATTCCACATGGTATTGATCGACAACGATGTAATATATCAGTTAATAATGTTGGACAATGTATATTACGTATAACATGATTTAATATTTCTTGTAATGCTCCTGGACCAAGTCGATGTCCCAGTAAACATGCCCATAATACATCATTACCAACTGGATGACTTTCCTACATTGAGAGAGAGAGAGAGAGGAAAATATTTGAATGTTTAATCATTGTTATGTGGTTATGCCTGGCCTATGTATGCACTGGTCCAATAACGACGCAGAGATGATCTGTGAATAAGGCATACACAACAAAGACAAGAGAATTGCTCTTCTATCCTAAAAGGATGGTCGTACAGCGAAATGCAAGAGAAAAATATACAAGATAGTTCTAATAGATTTCAAACATTCCTTTATATACACACATATATACAAAACTTGACTTTAGTTATTCTCGTTAAATGAATGAATGAATGAGCCTAAAAAGAAATAGGCTATGAATATAGAGTGGAAGGAGACTGGAAGCATGATGAACTGTCAACAAAATCGAAAATAATCAATCGTCATATGACGATGATGATGATAATTGATGAGTTCATAGAAAAAACGTGGTAAAAGAAAATACAATTATATAAATCTGATCAATAATAATCTTTGTTAGGATATAACAATTAGCTCATTTATAACATTGAAGTATCACAGCTCGAGCGAAATTGAAACTAGCTGACTTCTCACAACGGAAAGAAGAGGTTAGAAAAGGTCGATCACATCTCATCTTACCCCATGTATTTCTGTCTCCTGTGGTGTAAGGTCTTTTGAAGAGCAAAGTTAACACGTTGAAAACTGCGCATAAAGAGGCCGTACTCGACTGGCCTCAATCAATTGTCATTTGGGCTCTGTGGTTATGTTTCCAGGTCACTAAGATCAACGCTAACTCAAATTGCTTTTTAGGTCCTTCAAGAAACACCCACGGTGTGGGTAGCCTGAAAGTGACATCTGCCTTTATATCCCCAACAGCACACGAGATCAAATCAGTCTATCAAGTCACTGACTGTCATAATTAGAGCTGAGCTGATAGGTGCAAAACACTTGGTCGGGTACTCGTCTGACAATATGGATTAGTGGGGTTTGAGAACTTGATGGAATGACCAGAAAATAAAGTTTCAATTCAACTTCTCGCAAGTGGGAATCGAACTCAGAGTCTCAAAGATACACACTGCTGATGAGTTGTCCCACAATAGGACGAAACGGCCACCCGGGTACCGAATGATAGCACAAGATTGATCAATTCACGAGTTCAATGAAACTCAACAATCTCTTCACAAACTCTAATAATTGACAGATAAATTAGTCTTGAATGATAATTTAAAATATGTTCAATACTTAGTTGGGTTGTAGTTAGAATTAATGACGAAGAATAATTTAAAATGAACTTCTTATATTATTACTAATATTATTATGATTTTACAATAAGAAATATGACATAAACTGTATAAATATTAGAAAGCACTGAAGTGATATTTCTTTCGACCATGAGACTCTTCAACAATGCATATATTCATGACGCCACCAGAGATTTCAAGTCTCGGCAGTGAATGTTAAATTTTTTGAACCACCAATGGGGTCGGCATTCATGGCTTCTCTCGTAAGGCCCTGTATGAAATTATGAATGTGCATTGTTGACGAGTTTCAATACTAAGATGAAACAACTGCCCTATAATGCTTTCTATGATAGTTGCGTAACAAAGGTTAGTTCGGATATTGAAAGCTCCAACATGTAGTTTGGAGCGTGATTTCAGGAGACCAGGAATTATGCTTCGTGAACTCGAAACGTTTGAATCAGCGGTACGAGGTGGTAAGGGAATGAAAGAAGAATTGGTCGGGGAGATAAGAGAGTTATTAAGAGGTATATGATAAATTTAAATGTGATTTATTTGGTATCGTGTGCTGCTACGGTTATGAAGGTGAATGTCACTTCCCGGCTGCTCACAACGTGGGTGTTTCTTGAAGAACGTGAAAAAAGTTGAAAATAACGTGGCTCGTAGCGACTTAGGAGTATGACCGCAAAGCCCAAGAGACAACTGCCTGAGGCCAGTCACGTACGGCCTATTTATGCTAATTTTTTAAATTGTTAGCTCTGTTCTTCAAATGGCCTTACCACTGGAGACGGAAATCCATGGGGTGAGGTGAGGTGTCAGATTTTTTCGGTCCATCTTTTCTAACCCCTTCCGTTGTGAGAAGGCAGCATCGCTACAGATGATGGTTGTCTACTGATAAACCCCTCTACATTCTGGATTACAATTTTGTCCTCAGACCTTGAGTTGTCGTTTTTAGTCTCACCGTTCTCTAATTTACCTGCCTGGTATGATAGGACAT